TGCAGATTAGGGTCTGTTCTTTATATATGCTTCAACGCCAGGCTTTATTACTTATTTACCACCTATCCTCTGGAACCTAGGTATGCCATCTATATGGGTGCTTAAATGCAGCTGATATTTAAAGAGTGCCCTCAGCATTCCTTTCAATTTTAGTTGTTGTGTACATTGAGTCCTTTGACTGCAGCTCTGAGCTCTTGTTCTTTCATATCTTCCGATTATCTTCGTTAAACAGCTTAATGTCTCTGATGGCATTCTGTCCCAAGAAGCATGCTGCTAGAATATTGCCTAGCTGAATCAAAACTTTTTGGCCCATTCTCATTTATCTATCCTGTGTGGTTAACATTCCACCTTCGTATACAATCCATACCTTTATAATCGCAAGAGTTGGAAGGTTAAGGCCCAAAATAATGTCCATTTGTTGAATTGCGACAACTCCTGGAAAAGAATGGCTGCGCGATAGTACGAATGTCTGATATAATAACAAAATAGGAAATATTCAGCATTGGAAGATTTATTTCTATATGTACATGTACATGTGGTTGCACTATACACCAGTCAACTTTAAGCGGACTGGATCTTCTCGTACAACATTTTAATGGGCATTGTTCTTGTGGTGACCTTTATGGGAAGAATCAACCCGTTAGATGACACAGAAAATATATGGCCAAGGCGCTGGGGTAGGGGGGCTCACGGAGATGGAAATAATAGTCCATGCTATAACCCAAGAGCATCATTCCACCAATGACATGGATAATTGCTATGATTGACATTGTTAGCGGGTGTTGAACATTTGAGAGTAATAAATACACATCAGAAAAAGCCCAATATAGTACAACTGTCGGGCCATAACAAAGGTGTACTCACGCATCGCAGAGGGGTTCTTTCCGAAATACCGGGCTTGGTATCGTCCAAGCAGGCCAGTGGGCTTGATTTCAGGTGCTGGACCGCGGGGCAGTTTCTCGTAAAAGCCCACTATGCGCTCCATACGGGCAGCATCTTGCGCGGCTCCAATTCCCTTTTCCAGTATTAGTACTAAAAGAAAGTTCGCGATATTCTCCGGTCAATCGACTATCGGCACAGAGTGCCAGCCTGGTCGCCAACAAAGGGCCATATTGTGTCTAAGCAAAGGAGATTGCAGCAGGTGGTGGCTTACGGTAGGAGAAGCGACCTATTAAGAAGTTAGAGGGGGCGTAATTCAAAGGGAGAATCAATATGGGGCTGGCGTACCTTGGGAGGGATGAGGGTCGAGAGACCACGGCGTGTGACGAAGCTCATGGTGGGGGACCTGAGGCAAAAATTAGCATTGCGAAAGTGCGTCTGATTGAATGACTGTGAAGGCTACGTACCTTGATTCGAAAAACAATTGAACCAAATTCGATCGTGGCCGTACAGTGTCGGGCTTGGTGGTTTTGATGCTGAAGTTGGCTGCATCGGACGAAAGAGGGAACAGTCAGCGGAGGACCGTTCTGCGCTAACCTGATTGGGACACACCTAACTGCCCGGCTCCGAATACAATGCGATATATCTTGTCCACCTCAATAATATGATTATCACCAGCAGACATACCTGATCCGTTGTTCCAAACCCAACGCCACAAATGTCCCTATTACGGACTGGAAGGCCACTTGGCCTTACTGCTACTTCCTTCAGAACTGGTCAATTGGCGTGCCGAACCAATGTTCGCTATCTCGGCAAGACAGCTTCTCAAGAACAATCGGAGGCGCCCAAAACAACCCCGGCTGATGCACCCACAGCTGTAGCGAGAGGAAGCTCGATGGTACGGAAAGAGACCCCAGCAGAAGCAATGGCACGCCATCAGCCAGATTACAATGCTACAGTTGATCACGGCACATCGTAAGACAACCCCCGTTTACGTCATGTCATGTACGGATTATGTTCAGTCCACTGACCAACAAAATGACTCAGGACATTCTCTCCCGTTCCTAGACGTGTTATGGATGGCAGTGAACCGAGTGGTGCCATCCCTGCGGCGGTGCTTTCAGGGGCTCCCACAGACCTTCAAGCGCGAACCGTCAGGTATAACGTCGCCCTTCCCACAACCCCCCAATTCTCTTCCAAACTAACGGTCTCTCAGAATTTTCCAACCTTCGAAACCAGCGACACAATCTGGCACGTGGCACTCTCATCATTGGCGGATGGATTGGGATATCTTGCAGAAGGGCCATCGCTGGGAGAATCCATTGATGGGTTGGCAATCGTCCGCTGATGCCATGCAGGGCACACATATCAACTTCAAGACGAAGGCGGATGCGATAGCTTTTGCTGAGAAGCAAGGCTATGAATATTTTGTTCAGGAGCCAAATCAGCGGGCATTTTATCCCAAAGCCTATGCGAATAACTTCTTGCACGAACCTAAGAAGCTCAAGCATATTAAAACGAAATAGGAGAATATTTGTTCCCCATAACTCTATGAACACTTTTTTCCTTTTCTATGTACATAAACCGAGCCTATTTAGAATTTTCCATTAACTATGGCTCTATTTGGTGCATCCGTCCTATTTAAACGGATGTATGGATATGTGACAAGGATTGGCGTATGTTTTGCTAATTGTCTCAGGACTCGATCAGAAAGAACTCTGAACACAGCTTTCTAATATGATATGATATTCCACCAAATGAACTTTCTTATTTACTGTCTCAGTCTACCAAAACAATCGAGTTCATCAACATAATACAATGTGCTTAACAAAGATGATTTACAGATAACAATTGAGGTTTTTAAAATCCTGATTAATCTTTTAACATATGCAGCTCTTAATTCAATTTTAGGTATATTTCTTTAATACAGTAAAGTAATTCGTTAACTACTCAGTAACCTTCACTGTTGAATAAACTCTCTCTTTCTTTATATTAATTATAAATTAATTTCAATTCATTATACTATCTTAATAATGTAAAGAGAATCTCAGATTACCTATAGAGATGAAATAAAAGGTTCTTACACACATTAAAGATTCCATTTAGAAATACAAATAATCTAGTGTATTAATTTCTACGAAAAGTTGTTGATATTGTGACACACACAATCGTGTTTATGTCTTGACAAAGTTCTGCCCTTCAATTGCCCATCTGCCTCTGCTGTCTCCGAAGGAACTTTTCACCGACTTCATCCGATCAATTTGCTGCAGACTCATTAGGTGGATCAGAGTCCGCATCACATCTTCTTGCATTCTTAGAGAGGCACAAAGGTGCTCTCTGACGGAGGGGCCCCTTTCAAAACTGTAGAGTGATATTTACAGCGGTAAATAGTTGAATGTTGTTTAAAATGGGAGCCCACTTTTTAAAACCCTGACCAACTCTGTCACTCAATCTAAAATAAGCACATTCACCGTACATAGTTAACTACTCCACAAATTACTAATAAGTATCTGTTCACCCCCCGCCCTCAACACCACGTTAAGAATTAGGGTTACTTAAGGATTAAGGGTTTGAGAAATATGATAAAATCGCTACCGCCAAGAGCACATAGAGATGTGCGTTGAGATACGACTAGTGGAGGTGGCTTATAACTATGGCTTAAACCACATTCAACTTTACGCCCATATTTATATCCATGGATGCGCCATTGAAGGATTACTAATAGCATTCCGACCTTCCATTCCCTCTTGGTGCTTCACCCCGTCAAGGAAAAAAAAAAAATTTTAAGGAAACATATATACAGATATAGCTATAGGTATTTACCACACATCATTGATTTCATACATCCACTTTAATAATAATCGAGAGTACCATAGGTCTCTGGAAACCCTGCTGACAGTGGAAGCTTGACTCTAAAAGTGGCGCCCTCCGCAATCGACATGAACCAACCCTCAAACGAAGGCGCTGACAGCAGCCCTATACCCGCTCTTGGGAAAACCCTCACTTCAGAAAAGGAGCCCTTGGCTCGCCGATTCCGTGCCTTATTTTCCCTCAAACATGTAGCCTGTCAACAGCCCCCCACAGAAGAGACCCTGCCAGCCATACAGGCAATCGCGGCGGCATTCACGTCGCCATCCGCTTTATTAAAACATGAACTTGCCTACTGTCTTGGGCAAACTAAAAATTTAGCCTGCGTTCCTTATCTACGGGAGGTTTTGGACGACCGAAACGAAGATGCAATGTGTCGACACGAAGCAGCAGAAGCCTTGGGAGCCCTGGGTGACACAAGCAGTTTAAGTACCCTTAGGAGTTTGAGAGATGATGAAGACGAGGTTGATGTTGTAAGGGAGACTTGTGATCTTGCGGTGGATAGAATTTTATGGGAAACGTCTGATCAACGAAAGACTGAGAAATTAAAACAAAGGTAACGCAAATATATAGACATAAACCCCCACTTGTCAATATATCCAATAGGTGATAAAATGTTGATAATCTCTAAAAGTGATTTCGCATCGATTGACCCTGCCCCTCCGCTTCCCATGCCTACCGACGAGCCTTCCATTCCTGATTTAAAACAAACCCTGCTCGACTCGAAACTCCCACTTTTCCAAAGGTACCGGGCGATGTTCGCCCTTAGAGATCTTGCTTCACCGCCTAATCTCCCGACTGCTGTCCCAGCAATAGAAGCCCTGGCAGAAGGTTTCAAGGACTCTTCTGCGCTCTTCCGTCATGAGATAGCATTCGTTTTTGGCCAGTTGTCTCATCCTGCCAGTATTCCTAGTCTCACAGCCACGCTCAACAATAGGGAGGAAGCTAGCATGGTACGTCATGAAGCTGCTGAGGCTCTTGGAAGTCTTGGAGAGGAGGAAGGCGTGGAGGAGACGCTGCGGTTGTTTTTGAATGATCCCGAGCAAGTGGTGAGGGACAGTGTCATTGTTGCGCTTGATATGGCAGAATACGAGAAGAATAGAGAGAAGGAGTATGCGCTACTTCCTCAGCCTGTAACGGCTTCGGCGTAAAGTGTGGGGTTTCTCGAATTATTGAGGTTATGGAAATTTACTTCCGCGCTTGACTTGGGTGCCTTCGAGCGGTTGAATGAACAAATTATGGGCGTTCATGGTTCAGTTGTTTGTGTTGAATCTATAATGATAAATAGAGAGTTAGAAAGTCCACAATGTATCACTAAATATCTGTTACAGTCCATCCATAAAAAAGAAAACATACTTGTGTCCACATCCTTCACACGTGTAAAATACTGTCGTTCCTTCGTCTGCACTACGGATTTGCAATGTATAGTACCTCATTTCGGGTCGACCACATTCTGGACAACTTTCTGAGGCAATTGCTTCGCCCTTTTTGTCATCTGCCGTCAGAGTCTGTACTGAGGACCTCTTTGTTCGGAGGGCAGACGGGAAAGCGTTCGGTTTCGATTCAGATGTGATGGTTTTCGAAGCAGTATCTGAAGAAATATGTCAACAGAGAAAATGTCCAACAAAAAGGATTGGACTGGTATGCGTATATCCTAATTAGTACCTTTATTTTTGGCTCCACAGAGCTCACAGATCAGAATCGCATTCTCATCACCGAAGGACTCGCGAAGGAGGTTTCCACAGTCCATGCAAAATATCAGAGACCCTATGGAAGCCATTGACGGTGGGGGAGGAGGACAAAAGATTCACTGTGAATCTTTTATCGGGGGGATGCGTGGTGTGGTTATACCTGGTTGAGCCTCGAAAATTGTCAAGGTAAACTATTTCTGAAGTACTGTTGGAGCCTAGGCTTCCTATTATGGACTAGCGCACCGCACAGTAGTATATAGCATCCCTGAGATAGGCTACCAATACAACCACTTCAGACGTCCAACAGAAGTGCCTCATGTTGAAGCCATTCCAATTTGACAGCTTCGAGTGAAAAGTCTAATCATGTGACTTTGCCCTGATTATCTAGCAGGGCGCTAGTCCGTAATAGGAATCTCGGTACCCATAAATTTTAAAGTTAAAGTTTGACATGAGCTAAAGGTACACTAAGTCCAAATTGGAATGATGCAAAAATTCTTGGCCATGACGCCGAGAATAATAGGATCGGTTTTGGGATGGATCACTATGTCACGTGAGAGCACGCAAGGCGTGTCTCCGAGGCAGTGGGCCGGAGTATTCCCCTAGGGTCTATCGATCTCTCGACAATGACACCGAACGCTATGAACTTTGCATACGTAGTGTTAAGGCCCTAGAATGACAGGCTACCCCTCATCACCTTCCATCCCCGGTTGATCATATTTTTGGCACCTTGGGGCTTTGTTCAATTGTGCGAGTAGTTTCCTGTTTTTACTCTTCAGCTCTTCTAACACCTAATCCCAGGCTTCATAGTTGATTTGGAGCTTTCTAAGACGTAGCAGTTCATACAATCTGCTTGGTAATTACGTACTAGTAGTTATGTTAACTTACTTTTCCCACTGATGATCTTTCCCATTAAATCGCACACAAGATTGTAAATAAAATAATGAAATGCGCCGGGTGAGAAAAAGCAGAGACAAAAATGAACAAGAGTGCTAATTCATACTAGAATACTTTAAATTAACAACTCGAGAAACATATCAAGTTCAGCAGAATTATAGACGTAAGAGTGATAACTAGTTAACCAGGCGATAAGTAATAGCCGCGCCACGCTAGTGGGATGCGCGGCAACAAGCGGCGCTATGCATTGGGCGTTAAATTAAGCGGGCGGGTGCCTTGCATGGGTTACCGACTGAGCCCCGACATTTCAAGCACCGAGAACGACTGATTACATTATCGGCCCCCCCTGACAACGATGCACACAGGGGGATTGTGCAGATTATCTACCCGTACCTCCCGTGTCCACCAGACATACCCCATGGTAGGATTTCCGTCATGCAACAAGCTCGTCACCCGGAAATCCAGGTGGTCATTCCAGACCATGGCAGCTCTAGCTTCAACGGTGCTGGCGAACGGCTCGCCAAAGCACTGTCGGTTGATGAGGCACTTCAGTTCTCTCCTATGACCAGTGCCCCTGTCTTTGGCCTAGGTGAGCTTTCTTCACATTTAACTCTTCGCTTAATCTAACATTTGCCTTATTTGATCAGACTCTATTTTCCGCCCTGACGTCGGTCAACCTTCTCTCGCAAACTTATCTAGCACCCATGATCGCAAAGCCGCAGGCGCAATTATCGACGCCCTCGATGACGAAACTCAAACAGCCGCTGGCGAGTCCACCCGTCTCAAAACTACTCGCCAGTATCTACAGGAGATATTGAGTGGAGGTTTGACTGAATAGTCAGTTTATGTTTACTCCGTTTCATGTTTTCGCACTCTGCTAACATTACTTGCAGTGAGTTCAAGCTGCCACCAAGGCCCCGACAAACCCATAATTCCCTGAAATCTCAACTTCCAGACTCAGAGTCCTTGAGTCGCGGTCACCTTGGTCCATTCGCAAAGATGATGCTAGACAACACGGACGTTCCTTATCGATGTATGCCAATCCTATAATGTGTTATTCAACCGGTGTGCTGATTTACTATTAACAGACCCATTGCTTATTACTCCAAGCCCGAAGAATGAGCTTCCAGTATCAAAGCCTTTGTCGTCGCCCAACTTAATTGAAAACTCTTCCCCAAAAAATCCTCCCGAATCTAGACGCCAGAGTGAAGTCAAGCCTCCCCTTGGATCGCAAGATAGTATGCCGAAGCCTGTTATTATAGTTCCATCGTTACCTTTGTCATCACAACCTGACGAATATGTTCATATCAACGAGCAAGTTCCATCAAAACGGAGGAAGTTGAATTCTGATGATTCTGATAAATTAACCGCTTTACGCATGAAAGATCAAAAGGAGGAGGCAGACACTGCCTTGGTAAAATTGCAAGGGCTTTTACAGGATGTCTTTGAAGCAGAGGATCAGCTTGAGCCAGATACAGCCACCACTGAAGCACCACTATCTAGCAAAATGTTCAGACTCCCGAAAGCTACAGACGATCTTGGCCCGGTTTTGTCTTCTGAAACGCATACCCTGCTTCAAGCTGCGATACAGAAGGTAACAGACTATGGGAGACTGCGAGATATTCCCACAGAATATCTAAACCGCATTCAAAGACTCTGCGAGCCTCCTGTCATCTCAGCCCAGACCACGGATCTTAAACTAGAACATGTTCCCTCAGATGAAGATGCAGAAATCTGGCTTAGGAGGCTTGAAGATGTGCGCAACGCCCTTTTGGCAATATGCACTTTGCTTCAAACGATGTCGGGGGAGGTAACGATAAACGATTTATGCCCAGAAGATGTTATACAAGCCATTCCAAGTGTTCTAAATCATGTTTTTGATGACTGTCTTATCCCGGCTATTGAATGCCGGCCAACTGGCAGGGATGCAGAACTATTTACTTTCTTCTCCTCTCACAAACAAATTATTGCTGGCCTGGTTCACCAGACGAAGAGAGTACTAAACCTTCTTGCTCGTTTCCTTTCCAACGTTGATGTCGCGGAAGGGACTATCACGGCAACAGAATTCCTCGCTACGAAACTAATTTTTGTAGAAAATGCTCATAGTGATAGAGATTCAACACTGGGTTTCCAAAAGTTTGAGGCTGTTAGGAGAGGTTCTATGGACGTCTTGGCAAAAATCTTTGCGAAATATCCAGAGCAACGCTCCTTCATCCTCGATGAAATCTTGGTATCGCTAGAGAAGCTCCCATCCACAAGGCAGAGCGCGAGGCAATTCAAACTCCTAGACGGGAAACATATTCAATTACTTTCTGCTTTAGTGATGCAACTTGTGCAAACTACGGCTCTACAAAAGTCAATGAAAGGTTCGAGGAAACCGAAGCGTCGTTTACCTCTTCCAAAGCTTGGACAGGACAATGGATCTGAAAGCGACGAAGAAGCTGACGATGAGCCTGAAGATGAGGGACCAAAAAGAGGCACAGCACTAGAGTTGCTGTCAAACAAGGTCGACCCTCTTTTCGATAATGCAATCCGTAGTGCACAGTATATTACGAGATTCATTGTTCAACGCGCGATGACATCCACTAAAACCGGTGATCAGCCCTACCGAAATCTTTTGGACCTTTTCACAGGAGACTTGATCAGTGTTCTCGGTTCGACTGATTGGCCCGCTGCCGAACTTTTGTTGAGAGTTCTTGCATCGCAAATGATTGGACTTGCAGACCATGATAAAAGTCCAGCAAACGCAAAAAATATGGCCCTCGAGTTGCTGGGGTGGATGGGATGTGCGATCTCTGATCTCACGTCTTCTGTACAACATTTACTTCCCAGCATAGATGAAGGTGATTCGGACTTAATTGATCACCTACGACAACTGTTTGATGAGCATCTTAATAGATCCTTACATGTAGAGGATATTCTTGTCATCGATGGGCCGCACCGTATTGTTCTCGAGTACCTCCAGGAAAGGGATGTTGGGAATTGGCAGCTTGCTAGCGCTCGCGGCTACTTTCTTGCGCAATGGGCGAAAACCGTGTGCAGTTTTTATTACGATCCGGAAGATAAAGGTAATATTTCCGAAGATGAATCGGTGGAGGAGTTTGCAAGGACCCTGCGTAATATGCTATCTGATCCCAGATGGCTAGAATCTCACAGGTAAGTCGTGTTTGAGTAAAATGAGGGGTGTCAGCTAATGCAAGAGGTAGAGAGTTCGATCGTATCGCCGCAAATCATGCCCGTTTTGCCTATCTTTTAACGGTTCTTAATATGGGATTTTGCAAAGCATTTGATAAAATCCTGAAGGTTCTTTTAAACTCCATCACCAGTGACCAAGCTAAGGTGCGAAGTCGGAGTTTGAAGAGTGTAATTCAGATGCTGGAGAAAGATCCAAATCTTCTTGATCGTGATAACACTGTGATGCCGCTAATTCTGGGATGTGCATCTGATTCTTCTCCAATGGTTCGAGACTCTGCGCTCTCCCTCATTGCGAAATGCATCACACTCAAACCGGCACTTGAGGAGGATGGCTGCCGTACCATTTTGGCCTGTTCGGCAGATCCCACGGTTGGCGTTCGGAAGCGTTGTATAGGCTCTCTGAAGGATATCTATCTTCAGACGTCTCGTAAAGACCTGAAAATCGCCATTGCTGATAACTTACTTCAACAAATCACCGATTTCGAAAGTAGCGTTGCTGCCCAGGCACGTCAGGTTTTGGAAGAAATATGGTTCTCTCCGTTCCACCAGTCGATCAGCTCGATACACGATTCACCTCAAACAAAAGTGTCACTAGGAGAACTAGTTGATCTCATCGTTGGTTCCGTGGAGAAAAGTGATCTTGGAGTTATCACGCTTGAAAAATTTGTCAAATCTGTACTCTCCGAAGACACAAAGGCAGCCTCCGCCAATTTTGAAGTGTGCAAATCAGTCGTAGCCACAATGTTTGAGCGAATCATAGACCACGCAGATTCTTCCAATAAACCAAGTCTCCAGGCACTTCTTCAATCCATTACTGTGTTTGCCAAAGCTAATGCGAAGCTATTCACTCCTGACCAATTAGAAACACTGCATCCCTATATTGGTCATCTTTCTACTGCCGATGACCTCCTCCTTTTTCGATCTGTTGTTGTCATATATCGGTGTGTTCTACCTTGCCTTTCTACTGCGCACAATACTCTTCTCAAAGAGGTGCAGAATGATCTCTTCAAGAGTGTCTCGAAATTGGCTAGGACTGAGCTTAATGAGGTTATGGCGTGTCTTTGGACAGTTGACAGAGTTCTACAAAATACAGAACGTCTTGTTAAGCTTACTATATCAGTACTTAAGGGTATTGCCCAAGCCAAAGCTCTGAATTTCGATGAGTCTTCGACAGCCGACGCCCTTGGAAGGGTGAGAAGTTATATTCGAATTGCAGGTTGTGTTGGGAAGCATTGTGACCTGGAGAAGTATTATAATTTTTTCAGGCAGTCTTTCCCCACCGCGCGGGCTACCTCTGTCTCTGGTTTAATGGTTGACTTTATAGCCCCTTTTGCTCTTCCGCAGTATCCACTTGAGCTGCGAGTAATGGCTTTGGAAAGTTTGGGCTCAATTTGCCAAACATGGCCTGCTCAGTTTAGTGAGGAACAAGCCAGAGTTGCACTATCTTCTGTGTTTGATGAAGATAACCCGGATTTGCAAAACATTGTGCTGAAATCATTTCTAGAGTTCTTCTCTGTTCATGAAGGGAAGTCCGAAAAGCTGATACAGACCAATGATTCAGCCGTAGATGCTGAAAATTCTACAAGATTAGCGGGCTCCCTGAAAGCAAGCGAAAACGACGGTGCAGCGGCGTTGATTGCGCAACACTTTCTCCAAAACATGCTCCACGCCGCACTTTCGAAGCAAGATGCATATGCATTAACAGCTATCGAATTGATCGCAAGTATCAATCGCCAAGGCCTTATCCACCCCAAGGAGTGTGCCGGAGTGTTGGTTTCACTTGAAACGTCGACAAATCCAACAATCAGCAAAATAGCCTTTGAAACGCACAAAATGCTGCACGAACAACATGAGTCCATGTTTGATCGAGAGTATATGAGAGCTGTTCAGGATGCATTTTATTACCAGCGGGATGTCGTTGGGGATCCAAGTGGGGCTTACAGTCGCCCATACACTGCGAAGCTCGCACCCCTTTTCGACATTATTAAAGTCAGCAATAGCAAATACCAAAGAAAATTCCTGACCAATCTTTGCTCGAAGGTTGATTTTGAGCTTCGGAAACTGGACGTGTCGAATAACCCCCCGGAGCACTTACTCCTCGCGAGATTTGTTTCTCAAAACATAGCCTTCTTTGAGTATGGCCAAATTGCGGAAATTATCCCGACGATTGCCTGCATTGAACGTATAGTTGCCGCAACTGGAACTATTGTAGCGCATGCGATCGAGACAGATTTGTTCCAACAAACCATTCAGCCAACAAATGGCAATGAAAGCACTGCGGAAACTCATGTTGACAATAGTCCGGCTGCTGCCGTCGACGCTCCCGACTCACCCACTGCTCCATCCCAAGTTCCAGTTCACGAATCTATCGATATGCTGTTGTTGAGACAACTGACTACTGCAGCTGGGTCACTCTTGATGCTCTGGGAAGCGCGATCTTACCTCCGCCGCCTTTACGGCATCAATTTCCATGCACGACAAAAAGAAGGGAAGGGTCATGCCAAAGAGCTTAATCGGGCACCGGCAAAGGTCCAAGGTGTCAATGGCGACCGGGTTTGGGAGACCGTGTCAAATCTCATGCATTGCCTTGATAGTACTGAAGCAATGATGAGTACATGCCGGGACTTTGCGATGTTGCTTTCGATTGATGATGAGCTTAAAGTTGCGGGAGAGGATGATAGGGACAGCCATGACACCACGGGCGAAGGTGACGATATGAGCGCCCTCCTTGCGGCCACCAGCAGTTCAAAGCCTGGAAAGCGCAAATCGTCCGTTTCGGGAGGTGGCACTCCCAAGAAGAAGCCTAGGGGGAGGTCCGCTGGCAAAAAGAGAGTAAGCACTGACCTGGAAGACGGGCTGGGCAGTGATTGAATTATTCATATAAGGCGTTTTAGAGGTTGGGAGATTTGAAATGCGGACCATGAGTCTATTTATATTTTTTATATTTTTTAATTTGTTATTCTTATCTGCTCGAAAGAGATTTGGTCAAGGCTGTAGGGACATGCCTTTGATGCTTTGTCGCTTTCTTACCATTGGGGAGGGGTTTGGGGGCGGATCTAATTCTCAGGGGGCTTGTATTATTTTAAGATTATATTTTAGCGATCGCGCTTGTGGACTCCCTTATTTTGTTATCATGCATGGGTACATATTCTAACATATCATAGAGAAGATAACAATAGCTGGAGGATCTCTACCCAACGGGATCCTTCGTCAACTTCCCAATATTTTACTTGATCTGCTGCCTCCTTTCTGTGGGAATTCCGTGTACCTGCGAACTCCGTACCTTTTAACACCTAATTATAGGAGCGTCACGTGCGTCTCTCGGTTTCAACGGGCTGCTGCGGGATGATGACATCGCTCACCTGCATCCAACAGTAAGCAGGTTGCCAGCTTATTCCTCAATTAAACATTCGGAGCTTGAGCCACTAATGCTTGCAGAGATCTCATCTACGGTCTATATATCATTAATATTGCACTATCTTTCGATGAATTGGAGATGAGGAGCGCGATCTCGCTACACACCAGCTTTTGGCAACCTTGCTCCCATGCTGTCACTACGGGGGCACACGCGGTTAGCCCGCCCGTTCGCTCAAAGGAATTCCAAAGCATGTTCGCGTCAGCTCAATCTCCCGGCACAAGCGCTCCGGAGCCCAATACACATATGCCGACAATATTTTAATACGCCATACCCGGGCTGGTTCCCATCTGCGCACGTATCCACGAAACTCCACTCTGCATCCCACAGTTCGCCGCGGTGGGCTCTTCGTTTTGCCTCCGCCAAACCCATCCTCAGGCAACGAAGTAGGGTTGTGCAGGCTATATACAATATTTTTACATATTGTGGCATTTTTGCAATATTTAGCGGAGCGCTTGTCGCCGGTTTTTTTATCTACGATGCGAGCACCTACCGTCACGACTTAAATTTGCAGGATATCCCCGTCTCTGAATTGGCGCTGAACCCCCGTCGAGGTGGACCTAAAAACCTTCCAATTGCAGGTGTGCTGGTTGATGACCATGATTCAGAAGCTATGGAGGAACAAAGGGACAAACCGAGGCTGGTTATCTTGGGAACAGGCTGGGGAAGCGTATCTCTTTTGAAAACGTTGCACCCCGGTGATTACCATGTAACAGTGGTATCCCCAGTCAATTATTTCTTGTTCACTCCTATGCTACCTGCTGCGACTGTTGGGACGCTTGGCTTGAGATCTTTAGTGGAGCCGATCAGACTGATTTTGCAGCGGGTTCATGGACACTTCCTGTGCGCTGAAGCAGTGGATGTTGATTTTTCAGAGAAACTTGTAGAGGTATCACAGATAGATAGCAGTGGGAAGGAACGACGTTTCTATTTGCCTTATGATAAGTTGGTCATTGGCGTTGGTAGGTCTATCTCCTATATACTTCCTGATTTCCCCTCCGTGGTTGATATTAACAAAAGTTTTGAAGGGTCAACAACGAATCCGCATGGGGTAAAAGGCCTTGAACATTGTAATTTCTTGAAAACCATCGATGATGCGAGGAAAATCAAAAACAAAGTCGTGGACAATTTGGAACGGGCCTGTCTCCCTACAACAAGCGATGGGGAGAGGAAAAGATTACTTTCGTTCGTGGTTTGCGGCGGCGGACCAACGGGCGTCGAGTTCGCCGCAGAAATCTTTGATATGCTCAATGAGGATTTGCTCCGGGCATTTCCCCGGATTCTCAGGAATGAAATCTCGGTGCACCTTATTCAAAGGTATTATCCTTGGCTATTAGGACTCACTATCCCTTCGATTATTAACAGGTCTTACCAGCCGCTCTCATATTCTGAATACGTACGACCAAACGCTCTCCGAATACGCGGAGGTACGTATGACTCTTCAAATAACTTGGACCACGGTTTACTGACTACAACAGCGACGTTTTGCAAGCGATCAAGTCGACGTCCTCACCAACTCGCGAGTTAAAGAGGTCAAAGCAGACAAAATTCTCTTCACCCAAATCGAAGACGGAAAGCAGGTTTTAAAAGAGATCCCCATGGGCTTCTGCCTTTGGTCAACGGGAGTTTGTCAGTAAAACTACCCTCTGACACTTAGTAATGTTTATTCCTAACATCTGTATGATACTGTAGCACAAACTGCACTCTGCAAAAGACTTGCTGAGAAGCTCGATGCGCAGACTAACAAGCTGACACTTCTAACGGATTCCCATCTTCGGGTCAACGGAGCCCCACTGGGCGACGTATATGCAATTGGAGATTGCTCCAGCGTCCAAAACAACGTGGCAGAGAATATCGTATCGTTTCTCCGAACCATTGCCTGGGAAAAGGGCAAAGACCCAGAAAAGGTCCACCTCACATTCGCAGAATGGCGGAACGTAGCCCAGCGTGTGAAGAGGAGATTTCCACAAGCAGCAAGCCATCTACGTCGCTTGGACAGACTTTTCGAACAGTATGACAAAGATCGCAGCGGCACTCTTGATTTCGATGAACTTCGTGAATTGCTGCTTCAAATCGACTCCAAATTGACGTCATTGCCTGCGACTGCACAAAGAGCCAATCAACAAGGCAAATATCTAGGCCGCAAATTCAACAAGATTGCCCAGGCCATGCCTGGCATGAGAGCTAACGAGATTGATTATGGTGACCTTGACGAGGCAGTCTATAAGGCCTTTCAATATAAACATCTTGGCAGCCTGGCATATATCGGCAACGCAGCAGTGTTTGACTTCAATGGAATGGGTTGGGGAGGCGGATTGATGGCTGTGTATCTTTGGCGGAGTATTTATTTCGCGCAGAGCGTCAGTTTGCGAACGAGGATTTTGTTATCGATGGACTGGGCGAAGAGAGCTATGTTTGGAAGAGGTACGAACTGTTTCGTTTTGAACCCCCTACCACAAGGAGAGGAACCAACTAACATATGTATTTATTCAGATATGATGAGCTTCTAAGCTCAGAAACCTACTCCTATTATCCCCTCCAAACATTCCATTCACCTCACCTCCCAAGTCAAGACAATTAGAGACAACGAACGTCAAGCAACCAGCATATTACGCTTCGATTGCTCAAGTCCCATCCCAACACATGCAAGATAAAATGATATATAATAGACAAAATATACCACCGACCGGCCTATTCTATGGCATTGCTATTGGCAACCTTTTATTGACGGGTTTCGAGAGCCAAACGAATACAAGTCATAACTACGCTACCTACATACAGATATAATTTTTCAACTCCCTATTCTCAACACACCCCTTAATGAAGTAAACTTACACCATAGTTCCAACATCTGAGAAACTAAGACCTATCCGTGGTACCATCCCACCTTCTCATTTATGCCGGTTTTGCTAAGCCTATTCCCTTGTCAAGGGTTTTCTTTTGTTTTTGGGTTGGTGTTCTTGGGTTTTCTTTCTTTCTTTTTTGTGGCAATTTTGATTCAAGCCAGTTGGCTTTCCTTCTTGATGTAGCAGTTTCCACTAGATATGTACAGTCCTCTTTAACGGGCACACTAATAGATATCTATATACATGGGCTCTTTATCTGCACCTATTGCTTCGGGCCAGTTGGTATCCAAGGGTTAAGATCTATGATAAGACATACGTAACGTCACATTACATGGAATGTACTCCGTATCAGCTCCAACAATATAATAAAAGAAATATTTCCATTGTCTCATTAGAATCTCATATCAAACAAGGTACGTGAAATCGAGCGGAACGATGCACCGCATCCAGTAACTTTCTAATAGACGCCATCCATTCATCATAAAATCCTGGAAATGCCTGCAGGCTGTGGAAATCGAGCGTTTCGTTAAAAATCAAGACAATTCGTGATCAATAGCCAGATACCTAGAGCCAAATCGCCGCCCTTTGGACCGATAGCGAGGGATCATAAAGAACACCAAACGCCACGCTAATTTACAGACAAAAGAAACAATCGCAGAAATTACAAAACGCGCCACGGTGGTTGAAGCTGACTGGGCTAATTATTACTGTCCCTGGGTCTGGTCAGTTGGGGCGAAGATGACCTCGTTCTAGTGCTAACCAGATGGTGCATGGTTTATGATATCATCGGATCCACCTCTCCCTGTTCTTGCATGATAGCATCATCAGTGCTACCATTCTGGCTTTCGTTCTGGCCATTGTTGTTATTGTTACTCATCCTATCTTGCTCGAGACCAATGTCGAGTTTGTCAGGCAAATCTTTCTTGGCTTCACGCGCTTTCTGTTCTGCCCAGGATCGCAGCTTGACAAGGTTACGAAGCCGTGCCTCCCGGCGCGCACCTTGGCTTTGGAGAATAGCTTCATTCACACGGGTCGCGATACTCTTCCGGAGTTCTGGGTCCAGTAGTGCAGCTAACGAGGGAGCCAGATTATCTGAAGGAAAGATCAGGAGAGACAACGTCTTTTCAAGATCCTCAAGAAACTGTGTGTTAGTGGGTGCGCGAGGTGCGAGATGAGACGTTGCGAAGTCCAAAGCAGGTGTGATATCTCCATTTGGAGTAGATGTACTAGTCCGTATCAATTCAACGAGCTGTAGTCGTAGAAGAGAGAAGTGGAGAGATGGGTTGGTATCGAGAATCTGCAATATCGCAGGTTAGCTAGAGCTCGCGATAACACAACATCTGAGTGGCTTAAATGTATATAAGACGAAACAGAGAATTTGCTGGTCATACTGAGGACTGAAGATGAGTGTTTTTCATCAACACCGTGGAGGTATATGAGTGGTGCATGAAACAGATTTAATCATAGCAAAAGAGGGAGAAACAGATTTTAGACAAATAAATAGCAGTAAAAGCTAACTAAAGGGGGCAGTACCTGAGGGTTCAATTCATTCAATTTTTCAATGGCAGACTTAATGTCACCCGAATGAATAGCGTTTCGGATCTCTACCCTTTCCTGGATCGACTCCAGGTCGGGCTGTGGTTGAATATTTGCTTCTACAGCAAATTTCTGCGCGGCAGATGGATAGCCATTCGCGACCAGATAATCCATCACAAGGAAGTTGATATCACTTCAATATCACCCAGTTAGTAAAATATTGATAGAATGAACTGAGGAAGGTATGCAAGGAAAATTTCAGAGGTCAGAAGGACAAGTTAACATATTCTCTTCAGGTGTTTTCAGAGAGATTCCCAACTTGATTTTGTAAACGCATCATGGAAGCAGCATTAGAGTCGGGTAAGGATGCGGGATTATGGAACTCACCTCTTTGAAGGTTTCACATCTTCGACCTTCTTCTCGAAATGATGCCATGTTGGCGTCGTGGTAGAGGGGGTTGGAGACATCTGGAAGGTTCAGTAATCCATCCCATCGTGCTAAATGAAGCAGACGGGGATGATGCCACATACTACGTTGGCAGACGTCATGATTGATACTCGATGCCTTTTGCCAGCTTACAACAAGAAGGAGCAAGCAGAGACTGGGTTCAAAAGAGGTGCTAAAGAACCCTTCAGCTCACAAGCCATGGGAGTGAGAGACAGGTTGCTGGAGATTTGTTGATCTGGTGATAGCAGAAGAAGAAGAAAGAAACAAATGAGAAATAGTTAGTTACCGTGTGCGGCTCCGCTTGACTAAGCAGATGCTAAGCGCCAAGATAATAGAGATCATGTGATATCCATTGATTGGATCGCGTCCACGTAACGGGGATACAACGTCCGACTGAAGGGACTTTGCATACAAACTTGAATTGAACAATGTGGCACAGCTTGAGGTCAAGATGAGATAACAATTTGGTTGCTTAAGATTTCAGGGCAAAAGAGCCCCCGAGCAGGGGCAAGTTACAAATTCGCACACTGCATTCTCATCTATATATTTCATATTTCATACCAAGGCCAGGGAATATTAGTATATTTTCGGTTTCTCTCTTGAATGTATATATCTCCCGACGTGCGTGTGCACAGTACATATATGTACATATATCCGTCATGTCGGAACATCGAGCTCGATACTCTCCTCCATGGGCGGATATGACAATTATTGGAATCGCTGGCGGTTCAGGGTCTGGGAAGACGTCTGTCGCTATGGAAATTATCAACTGTCTCAACTTGCCGTGGGTGGTTATTCTCGTTATGGTATTATGGCTTGATAGAGAAACACGTCTCCTCGATATATATGATACTTTTAACAGTGAAAGCTGATTTGATTTTGGCATTGTTTAAAGGACTCGTTTTACAAAACTCTCACCCCCGAGCAGAATGCTATAGCGCATAACGATGAATATGATTTTGACTGCCCGGATGCGATTGATTTTGACGTCCTCGTGGACACCCTCCAGTCTCTTAAAAAGGGGTAAGATCCCGGTATCCGTTCCTACCAGATTTACTACCTGTAATTCTGTGCTAATTAAAGAAACCCTTTGTAGACAGAAGGTAGAAATTCCCATTTATTCTTTTGAGAGACATCAGCGGCAGAAAGAGACCATGTCTCTATATTCCCCCCATGTTGTCATCCTCGAAGGAATACTGGCCTTTACGGACCAAAGAGTAGTAGATATGCTGGATGTCAAGGCATGTAGTCACCAAAGAAACGTGTTAAAGCAAGTCATTTGTACTAGCTAACTGTACCAGATTTTCGTGGAAGCTGATATGGACGTTTGCCTTGGCAGAAGAAGTGAGAAACGCCTCTGCAATTCTAAACCCAATCCATTTTGGAAGTCGTGGCAGCTAATGGAAGCATAAGCAAGTCCTGCGCGATGTCCGCGATAGAGGAAGGACGATAGACAGCGTCATCAAGCAATGGTTTAAATTCGTCAAACCATCGTATCTCCGATATGTTGAACCTCAGCGGCATATATCTGGTATTTAATCCCCTTAACGAGGTGGAGAAGTTCGTTGTCGGTTGACTAGTTGTAAAGACATCATAATCCCTCGAGGCATTGAGAACAAGACCGCCATAGGTATGCTTTCATAATCGCCAAAATGTTCATTTAACCCCCCAAATTAACAAAATCAGACTTGGTGGTCAAGCATATTCAGCGAAATCTCCGAGAGAAGTCTGAAGCCCATAACCTAGAGTTACAAAAACTGGGCAAACTAGTCGAAGAGCAACCTCTATCCTCCAATGTTCTTGTGATGAAGCAGACTCCGCAATTCGTCGGTATAAATACCATTTTACAGGATCCCCTGACGGAGCAAGTTGATTTCGTGTTCTACTTCGACCGGCTAGCGTGCATCATGGTAGAACGGTATTTATTACCTCTGCTGCAGCATTACCACCAATTTAAACCACATCGGATTAGCTAAGGCAAAAGTTAGGGCCCTCGATACCACCCCATTCGTTCCAGTAACGGTAACCACACCCCAAAAACAGATCTATCATGGCCTTCGACCAGCTGGCACGATATCCGCTGTTGCAATCCTTCGCGGCGGTTCCTGTTTAGAGACTGGCTTAAAAAAGACGATACCGGATTGCATAACCGGCAGAGTCCTTATCCAAACAAATTACCGCACCGGCGAACCGGAGCTACACTACCTTAAGCTCCCCCACGGTATTAATACCCACGCCTCTGTCCTGCTCCTTGATCCACAAATGTCAAGTGGTGGAGCTGCATTAATGGCAGTGCGAGTCCTTGTCGATCATGGGGTGGAAGAAGGGCGCATCATCTTTGTAACCTTCGCTGCAGGCCAACGAGGTTTGCAGAGACTAACTGCTGTATATCCCGATATCAAAGTAGTGGTGGGACGGATAGAAGATGAGGGTGAAGAGAGATGGATTGAGAAACGTTATTTTGGGTGCTAGACGATTCCAGATACTTATAAATGTTGTCAGCTCTTATATTCTTTCTTATACTCGGATATGAATTTTCTCTATTTCTGTCTCTATCGTTCACGGGTTCCGATAACCCCATCCTCCACTTAGTTATATATATCCTACAATAGGCCACTGGTTGAGTTTATAACTGTCTTAAGCGCATGATCATTGGAGACTATACCTCAAGATAGTTTTTCAAAGCCCACAATATTACTATCTAATTAATTAAAAACATCCTTGGAAATAAACCCAGGCCTACTTATCACTGGGTTGGTATCATACCACTCTGTGATCGATGAGTAATGGTGCTTTCACTCGCGTGGGGGTAAAAAAGCTAGTGCACGGACCACCCGGAGAAAGCATCAAAAAAAAAACTACGGAGTTCGTTTCTAGAATTAAATATTTACCTAATAAAAGAGGATAAACCACTTCACACTTTTCAGAGAGGGGCTAAACGGGTGTAATATATACGTCCTCATGCTTCAGTATTGGATAATCCGCAATGACTTTTTAAAGCCATACCGTTAACTCATCATCTCTCTACGAACATCCCAAGACCATGGCCGAGACACAGAAGTCAAAGCCCAAGCGGGCAAAGTCCGGCAAAGATGTCGCTGGTCCTGTCATAAGTATGTGCGGACTATATAGCCGTCCTTAATCACATTCTCAGCGGCAAAAGAAAGGATACAGAAAGCCGTTCATAACTCCCTTGCTAACTATATATCGAATCAATGTAGCTGATCCGCGATTCGCCAACATCCAATCCGATCCCCGATACCGGCTCCCGAGCAAGAGACACACTCATGTTAAACTCGATAAACGATTTGCGCACATGCTGCGCGATGACGACTTTTCAAGAACAGCAGCTGTTGACCGGTACGGGAGGAAACTGCGGAGAGATGATACGAAGAAACAGCTGGAGAGGTTTTACAGGCTTGACGAAGAGGATGAGGACGAAAAACTTGGGGATGATGATAACATGGATGTGGAGGATGATGAAATTGTGCAAAAGGAATTGCGAAATGCGGATAAACGGAAGTACGATCCCGCCAGAGACGGGGGATTTTCCGAGTCTTCATCGGACGAGAGTTCAAGTGAGGACGAGGAGGAAGGTGTTGAGGATGAAGTGGAGGAAATACAGTTTCCCAATCAGCAGCAGGGTGATGTGCCCCTTGGTGATATCAGCCGGCGAATCGCAGTTGTCAACCTGGATTGGGATAATATCCGTGCGGAAGATTTGATGGTTGTGTTTTCGAGCTTTTTACCTCCTGGAGGGAGTATACATAAAGTGTCTGTTTATCCCAGCGAATTTGGGCGGGAGAGAATGGAGAGGGAGGAAATGGAAGGACCCCCTAAAGAAATATTCGCCAAGAAGAGGGATGAAGGGAGTGACGTGGAAGCTAGCGAATCGGGGGGTGATGAGGTAGATGAGGAGGAGGAAGAGGAGAAAATCAAGCAGTCTATCATCAAGGAAGATCAGGGCGACGAGTTTGATTCTACCCATCTTCGAAAATACCAGCTCGAGAGGCTCCGTTACTATTACGCTATTCTGACCTGCTCATCTGAGGAGGCTGCAAAACATATCTACGATGCTGTGGACGGAACTGAGTACATGAGCAGTGCGAACTTTTTTGACCTTAGATTTGTACCTGATGAAACCGATTTTTCACAAGATATACCTAGGGACGAGTGTGAAAGGATACCTGATGGATACAAGCCTAACGATTTCGTGACGGACGCCTTGCAACATAGTAAGGTTAAGCTCACTTGGGATGCGGATCACACGAGTCGGAAAGAAGCACAGGCAAGAGCGTTCAAAGGCGGCAGGAAAGAGATTGATGAGAATGATCTCAAAGCATATTTGGGCAGTGATAGCTCTGATGATGAGGATGAAGAGGATGAAGGAGTTGAGGTTGTTGATTCTACAACAAGGGATGGCTCCTCCGCGACCGCAGCCCCAATTAAACTAAGCAAGAAAGAGGCTGCCCGAGAGAAGGTGCGCGCTCTACTTGGACTTAATAAGGAAAAGTCCGCAAGTGAATATAAGAGCAAAGGACCAGTTGGAGATATGGAAATCACATTTTCAGCTGGACTTTCTGCAGGGGCGTCTCGTGGAAATGTGTTTGAGAATGAGCCAGAGAAGGATGAGACGACAGCAGAAAAATATATACGGAAAGAAAGGGAACGCAAAGCGAGGCGGAAAGCAAGAATGAAGGCAACTAGAAATGGCGAGCCTCTGCCAACGGAGGGTGAGGATGGTAAAAATAAAGGTCCTGAAGCCTCGAATGATGAAAAGGAGGACTTGGGCTTCGATGATCCGTTCTTTACTGCTCCTGGATTGGATGTGGCTGTGTCTGCGGCACAGCGCAAGGAGGAAAGACGAAAGAAACGCGAGGAGCGAGACGCAGATGAAGCTGCTACGGCTTCAAAGCGCGCTGAGCTTGAACTACTTATGATTGACGACAAGGCTTCACGCATTAAACATTTCGATATGAAGGAGATCGAGAAGGCGGAGAAAAGAGCTCGAAAAGCAGGGAAACTGAAAAGGGTGAAGGGAGGTCAAGCTGCTGAACTTCCAGTGGATGACTTCAAGGTGGACGTCAAGGATGAGCGATTCCAACGACTCTGGGAGAATCATGAGTTTGCGATTGACCCTTCGAATCCGCGGTTCAAGGCAACGGAGACCATGAAGGCGTTGTTGGAAGAAGGACGGAAAAGGCGGCGGAATAAGGATGATGGCGTCGTGGATCGAGAGATACCTGAGCCCGGGATGAAAAGGAGGAAAGGATCCGGCCCTGGTGCAGTTCCGAGTGTAGCTGAGGCTGATGATTTGAAAAAGTTGGTGGAACGGGTGAAGGTAAAGAGCAAGAGGATTAAGTCATAGATGGATTGAGTGAAATTAAGTGAAATTGAAAATGCCAATTCTCTTTTGGAGTGGCTTCTACTTAGCTACCTGGTGCTTTGGTTTTGTTGATTTGGAAGAATCACAATATTTGAGCTAGTTATACTCTTTGCGACGGTTCGGAGTTTAACATAGAGCGGTAACATGCTTTCTATCAAGTAGATGCAAAGTGTGCACTGTTTCGAAGCACCTTGGAAGATGAAGTAATATGATCGGGGGACATCGCCACGATCGCTCATTCTTACCGGTAGCTAACAATATATGGCTAGAGTAGATGCCCGACTTTACGCAACATGCTTTCAGATCTTCAAGGATCAAATTTGAGAACCAAGCACGTCCGCATCACGTTGAAGGCGGTGCATGCGCACTCCGTGAATAATGGAGGACAGTTAACACGTATTTGGACCTGATCGACAGTGGTGGATGCGGCGGAGGAGAAAAGTTATGCTCAAGGTTCCAGCCAACGAAGAACCATGCCTCCGCTTGCTTGTTTGATAAACCACAAAAACTTGGAAGACATCTACCGCGTTCGCACTGAGGCTTTCAAGCTGCCGCCGTCCTGCATCTTAGGTCGCCTGAAATCCACGATTCACCTCGTCCAAGACAGATGATATATATATCCTAATTACATGATATTTCACATTACTTTCCAGATCTACTTCCAGTTGAACAGGTTTCCCTTTTTGTTTCGACTCCAATTTTATGTCGTTTCGTTCATAATTTTGTGGTTTTTAAATCTGGATGCAACAAACGTTATACGAACCTCATGTTTCCAGCAAATTGACCCAACATTCTCTTCACTGCGTAGCTTCTGCTGTGTCAACTACTGAAAGCAGCCACCTGCGTTCGAATCTCTTCCATTGGCAGAGAGGATGATCGCTGGGGCTAGTGAACTAGTGAAACTTCGCGGCGCCCAACCACAAGAGATCAATGACCATGCTCGCGCTGCAAATGTGTTACGTACGAAGTTCCAATCAACGACAGCTTGGCCCTTAAAGGGACAAGACAGAATGTATTTCTCCATCAAGGGTAAAACCATATCTTGCGCATTCTCGCCTTGATCGACTCTAGCCTTGCTCTGTTGACGTTGTGATCTCCCTGTATTCCTTTTTATGTAGCTCGATCGGCCCATGAGATGCGTGCAGGGGTGTTCTTCCACGGCATCTCGTAACCCTACCAGCCTCTTTCCTTAAGGATGTGTGGCTGTGGTAAACGAGGGAAACTTGAAAGGGAGTACTCTCAGTCCTCCTAATGTTGCTTCACTTGTGGATATAACAGATTCCATTCCTCTTCTATATCATGGCCCCAACAGCTGAAAACCCATAGCTTCAAAACCTATATAGCTGTACATCCGAAATCCACAAAGCCAACTTCACCCTGCCCGCAAATACTCCTCATCCTACACCAGCGAAACCAAGCTATGCGGCTCAATCAACTCCTTGCCCTTTCCTCCTTTCTTATTCCGGCTCTCGCCATCGGAAGGGAATGTTGCTGTGATCGGTACTCGCAATTTGCTCTCGAAAACGAGGCCAAAATAGTCGCCCAGTGCAAAACAACCTGGTCCGCAGTCAAGAATGGCGCATCTGGCGAGGACTACTGTAACAGCGTCTTTTGCATTCAGCAACAATCCTGGATCAAGCCCTGGCTTGCTGGCAAGTGCACTCTTGCAGGTTATCAATGTGGTAAGTATTGGGTCTCCGCCCTGGCATTGTGCTGTCACGAGTTCAGAAGATTATGCTAATGGCGAGATAGGTGACTGCGCCAATGGCAATGTTGGTTGCCTTGGATAGATCAATGGATTGCGGTTATAGCCCAAACCGGTGGAGGGGTTTCGCATATCTTGCAACGGGTCCGGTGATCTGAGCCATGCGTCTGCAACCTATTTGGCAGTGCGTGGGCTTTTATGTATTTTCCTTAAGTCTTGTATAGTTCAACGTTCAGGAACGAGAGATCATCTTTAGGGGAAAAAATACATTAAAATATCTAGGAGCTATTATTCCCTAGGCGCGAGGTGCAGTATCTCATTTTATCCTAAATATTCCAGGACACGGCTGAGGGTATTAAAACACAGTAACAATCTGTCGAATAGATCCGTATTTTCAATGTATTAGGTTATAGATGTCTGCGTAGTTGATGAGATGTTGTTTAGTTGAAAGATGGGATTTGTCTTGCCTTGTGAGGGTTGCCAAGTGACCAATCACAGCACGCGACGAAAATTTATATCAAAAGTTCAAAACGGTCCAACAAGTTAAGTTTCTCTTGACTACAGCAACAACCGAAGGAAAAGAAGATGGCGCATTTTCACGAGGACACCTGTCGAGCAAAGCGGAGGAAGCTTGATGTTGATTCCTCAGCTATTGCAGCACCAGCCGTGACGATCTTCTCTCACGCACAGCTGCGTACGCTTCTCGCATTCCAGCAGAGTGCTTCACCAGATGTAAAACAGGGTACGGAGAACGCAGCGGTTATATCCTTTTTAAAATGCCAAACGAATAACTACTTACCTGCCAAATAGGTGTTCGATATTTTAAGGATTTCCTTACTTCCATCAACGAAGTCGAGAAGGAGAACGAAAAGGCAAAGAAGCTCCGCATTCTCAGAGCCTATTGCGATTCTCAAATTGTAAATGCAGACGACGCGACGAATGCGAGCTGTTTCCATGATCTCATTCAAACATGGAACTTTGCAGAGAACGGTAACCATGAGTCTCTACTCTCATTAATCCCCTCTGTACTGGCGCTTTTCCTGAAGACCATATCGAGCCAGTTAGAGTTCAGAGATTTCGGACTAGTACTCTGCAAATTTTTGTTGCAAAAGGAGCAGCTCAAGCTATTTAATCGAGCATTTACGGCGAGCAAAACTAAGGAACATCTGATTTCTCCTTGCCTACGACTTCTCACGGAGATCATTAGCTTTGATGGAGGTGCTGTTGCACGCCATGTCTATGGACGACGAGAAATTACTCTCAAACGTCTTGACATCTTCCTAAGTGTTCGTAAATCCTCTGCAGATGCAGATTCTGAAGATCGACAGAAGTCGACACTCCGACGAAATGCCCAACGCTATTTAATCGCCAATTTAAAATTCCAAAACTCTAAGGCCAAAGAGGAGATAATCAGACAGGGGAAACTCATCCGTGCTTTCTTGGAAGACATCCGTAGGGATTCTCGCGACATTGTTATCGATATCATCAGGACAATTGACAAACATATTGCGAGTGATGCTTCACTTTCTCGGAACGCCAAGAGCCTGTTCCTGAACCGCTGGAACCTCGAGCGACTAGTCACTCTTTTCGGGTATGAGAGAGAATCCGATGAGCCAGCGGTGGGAGATGAGAATATCTCGAAAGAAATATATAAGTTGCTGGGGGACATTTGTACGAATTCGGAGAAGGGCGTATTACTGCCGGAAACGGGATGGTATCCTTCTGGGAGCAACCCTGATATTCTGCCACCGAATGATGACGGTGCAATTCCCCTTGGTCTCGACTCACCCATCCACTTTGATAAGTATAAGGAGTCGGTTCCAGTTCGGAACGGAAATCTCTCAGCGCTGATACAAGTTCTTCGCCCGGAGTCAGATACAATGCAAATGAATCTGTTACTGAAGATCTTCAAAAATGCCCCGGAGCTCGTATTTGATTTTTTTTCGAAGCGGACGATGTTCGCATCCGATCCCAAACCCACCCCAAGTTGGATAGGAGAATCCGCCTTCCTCTTCTCTACGATCCAACTCCCTGTCCCTGTGGATTGCGGATGGAAGGGCAGCCCGGCCCTGGTACCGCCTCCTATTCCAGTTGTCATCGAAAGCATACTTCCTCGACCGCTCACGCAGAAGATCTTGACAAGATGTCTTAATCAAAATACGGATGTGGTCACTTTGTTTGCAGTTCGAATTATCACTTTGGCTCTACGCAAGCTACAGGCTATTCTCCGAATTTTCAATGCGGATAGAGAAACCGGACAGGAGCTTTGGTCCCAGGCGGCCGGGAAACTCATCAATGAATTTTGCCGAAGATGTCCCTCGATGAAAGATGTCATACTTCTCTTCCGAAACACTGTAAAGGGCAACCTCCAACAGCAAGATGCAGTTCTTGAACTGTTATCTACGTTTTATGAGGTTATCCCTACGATTGCTTTGGAAGAGAAATTCGACATTTCGTTAACCTTGGTCGATGTTTTGAAACAACTTAATAATGTCCAACCTCAAGCTGAGGATAGGGAGTTGCTCCTCAGCCAATTACAGCACTTGCTCGTCATTGCTCAACATTCACCTACACTGCGTTGGTGGCAGAAACCAGGTACGAAATATTTATGCATCAAAATATAGTTTAATCCTTTGACAAGCATTCTAACCAACAAAACATATCTAGAATCTCTTGAATTTTCTGCCCTTGTCTCTATTTTCAAAGTCCTTACGGAATCCAGTAGCCAAACCCCCCTTGATGACATAAAAGCTTTGGTCCAAGATGTATTAATTCAGAATTCGGTTATTCTAAACCCGGGATCTTTCAATGCTTTGCTATCAAGTGTTAATAGATCTTCCAATGCCACTCTCACCGCAGAGCTGTCGTTTCTCGACAATTGCATTACAAGATTGGTTAAGAAGCCTGTCCTTTACTTAGAACTTGCCCAGTCCTTGGTTGGTAGTGGACAAGAGAACTTGAGTCTCCTTATCGGAGTTATTGACGAACAGTGGCCATTTGTTGCCAATTCCGGGGAGTTGGATAGGCAAGTGACAATATCTGGCTGGATTGGTCGGCTGCTTGGCTTGTTGAGTGTGGCCGGAGAGGATGAAAATGCTTTGAAATCAGTTCGGGATGCAGCTGTTGATATCACCGAAAACAAAAGGGCTCGATCAGCCTTGAGAAAGGCGTTTAAACACGCGAAAGCCGTAGTTGATGAAAATGTGAAGAATCACAAACCGGTCAACGGCGATGTTTCTACGCAGCTGGAATCTGAAAGCAAAGTTTCCCGAGTCGATTTGACAGAAATTTTTGGGGCCGTCCCTGTTGAGAGCGACTCACATCCAGCTCTGAATCGATGGGAAAGAGAAGATATTGAATTCGCACTGGAGCACGGCCATGTTGGCGAATTGATGCTTTGTCTGTGTTCGGAGTATGAAGAAGTCCGAAGGCAGGCAAGCTCAGCCATACATCGATTCATGGCGAAGATATATGTGAGTGTCCGAATCCATTCAGAGAAAAGATGTTATTCTTTCTCAAGGTCTAACACCGCCCCTTTTAGGATTCTACTTATGAAGACCGTCAAGCCATGTATGTTGTTGCGGGTGAAATTCTAGAAACTGCCAACGATGTTGGCCTGGAGACACCTCTCCCATACATTGCTGGAGAGCTTGCTGCTCAAATAGTGACTGTTCTGATGGATCCTGTTCACAAACTGTATGGCAAAGTGAACAAATTCTTGAACAAAGGTCCTCGATGGGAAGTTGCCAAGATTCCATCTTACTGGATAGATAAGATCTTACTGCATGAGTCGGAATACAACGATAGCCATCATGAGGAAGTGGGATGGTTGCTGAGTTTGTTTATCAATGGGCTACGCACTAAGAAGGTATTTTTATGACCTATTCTTCGAAATTGATCTATAACTTCGTCGACATATGCTGACTCGCTGAATTCCAGGACATGGACCTTTACCGAAGAGCTAATGTTTTCGAACGAGTCCTCTTGCTATACAACTCCCCAGGCCTAACGGACTCCTTGAGGAGGATGATATTGCACCTTCTGTTCCGTGCATGTGAGGTGGACGGGAGTACAACCCTTTTAACGCGAGCAGGTGCGTATAGCTGGGTCCAAGGCCAAGTGGCAGTGCAGGATAGGCAGAGCAATATCCTCCGGGAAATCGCCAGTGAATTATGCAACAGGGGTGACCGCGAGTGGATTGATAGGTGGAGCGGATCGACTTTGCCACAGGCCTTAACTCGGATTTCCGCCTAAGAAGTGTCTATAGAAAGCTGTAGAAAAGAGTGTTACCGGGGAGCAATGGACTGTGGCTCGAAGGGCGGAAGGAATACAAGAAGCTCATCTTGATTGGATGGTATTGTAGACAGATATCCATCATCGTATGGCGGTGTCATTTCTATAGGTTCTGAATCTTCTGATTGATTGACGATCCATTTGAAGGGAAACTGGGCATAAATAACTACTTTGTTTTGTTTACTGTTTTTTTTTTTTTTTTTTTTTTCTCATTTTCTTTCCCATTTCTGTACATCAGAACATATCCCCGGCGCAACAGATAATTTGGGGACTTACTTTGCTGAATCAATATTTATCTCTATTTATTATCTCCCGTTGTTGTTGACTTCAAACACACATATTATTTCCGCCCGCCAACACAACTCTGCCCGTAGGTAGTGCCGGACTTGCCTCTTTTGGGCAACCCAAAAAATTCTCAACCTCAAAAACTACAGAGCGGTTTTTTTGCCCGTCCACAACCTCACATCAAAAACATACCTCTACACGCCACTCACACAGACACGACATTCCGGATACTCCAGCTGCTTACGTACCCACAATTCTTTAGCACTCGATCCAACTTCCTATTTGCAAGCTATCACCACCCGTTTTGGGGCGTCCTGCTCATCGTTGACTTGTGCTTCTGCGCCTCTCTCCGACCTCTCCTCCTCTCCTCTGCACCCATACCTCATCCACCGCTCCACTACATCCTATTGCGATATACCTACCTTTCTCTACGGATTATTGCATGTAGAGAACTGCATAGATTTCACAAGTCCACCTTTCTGTTTTGGCCTCACCTGCTCCCTTCCGCCTCAAATATCCCCCCCCTCTCCCTCCGGGCTCATGAGAAGCATTTCTCTATCCCTAACCCACAACCCTTCCTCCTCCTGATGGCCCGACGGTATCAACCTTCGGAGCTATTGCGGCTACGCGATTCGCCCTTGGTTGTTAAACCCGATAACTTACCGCCTATAGAAGAATGGATGGGGTATGTCTACGTTCTTTGTGTAGTCCTACCTCCGATTTGCTAATATAATTGTTTCTTTACCTCAAAAAGACCACCCCCAGACCCCCCCTTACAGAAGAAAAATACCAATGGCCGGGATCAACCTACTCAACAAGATCCTCCAAATCGGAGATCAAGCTTTTTTGAAAGTCGTCATATTTCACGTGCCTCCACAGGTATGAATTAGTCCTCCTTCAACAGAGTAGTAGGTTTAAATTCAATCCAAAACAGCTCTGCTAACCTATTGTCTTCCGCGTTCTATTAGATGAAATCGTTTTAGGACCTCCTAGAACTTCATTTGCGTCTGCATCCCGCTCATTTGGCAAATCGATCGATGCCACCGATCGATCCTCTTCGAAAATTAATGATACTGATGACCAAAAACATGATCGCTACAATTTCCGGGACAAATTTTTCAAAGATAGAGATCCTGGTGATCGGGATAGTGACAGAAGAGACACGAAACAACCCCTAGCCAATGGCCGCCGCACCGGTCGAGATGATAGGGAAGACTGGTCTGGCGGAAGACCACGTCGTACATTTGGCCCCGAAGAATCGGATAGAAGACCGAAACGAAACGGAGATTCGGATCGGTGGGAGACGCGGGATCACCGGGATCACCGGGATCATCGGGATCATCGGGATAACCCAGAAGGCGGTCATGAACGTGCTCCTAGAGACAAAGACCAGGGAAGGTATCCTCCTCGAAGGGACGGACAAGGCAGGGCCAAACACGATAATTGGTTCAGAGATGGCGAAACACAAGACGCTGTCGATGGTGAGGAGGAAAAAACTCCCGCAAGACATCGCGAATGGCGTCGCGGTGCCCATGGTGGAGATAGAGACTGGAATAGGCTTGCGAAGCACGAACAGGAGCCAGAATGGCTGGATTCATCGGACCGAGACGGGGCCAAAGAAAAGCACACTCAGGCGGATTTCCAGCGCTGGAAGGAGCGTATGAAAGCAGGCTCCGCTCCGACGCCCCAAGAGGAAAAGAAAGAGATTGCTCCAGAACCAATGAGCTCTGAATGCAAGCCAAAAGAACCATCCAAGCGGCGGCTTGATGGTGAAATATTTGGCACTCTAGATCCCTCCCCCACGGATTCTGGTTTGGATAAGTTTTTTGGACTATGGGGCGAGAACAAACAATCTCGTGAGCATGACTCCGAGAATCTTGTAGATACAAACGCCAAAAAAACGACGCTTCTTATCAAAGGAGCCAAAGCTTCTAGGTTTGCGGGTATTTTCAATTCACCTGGAGATACTGCAAATCGAGAACCCGAGCCTCAGACCATTATCCATACGGATCCTGCCCGACCAGCTTCTACGGATGCAGATCAGGAAGGATTCCAGCGGATTTTGCAGATGCTCGGGGGAAACAAGTCCAGGAAATTGACACCTCAGGCGGACGTTTCAATGCATCAGCCTCCTGTACAGGTGCCGCCGACACAACACGATTATATGAAATCCTCAACCACTGTATCATCTCCTGTTCGAGAGTCTTTCAACCGTCAGGAGTATGCACCGATGAACTCCCCTCGGGAGCGACCCCCGTCGGGTTTAGAGGCTCTCTTTGTACAGAAGCCCGCAAAAGAACAATCTGGGCAAAGCCGTGACACGGAATTTCTCCTTCGCCTTATGCAACAGTCTAAAATATCCCCTTCAAATCCCCAAGGAAATCCTCAGCCTCCCCTTGCTGCACTCCAATCTCCTGGAGCAGTGAATGTGCATGATATGCACGCTCGAGCTCAAGCATTGGAGAAACAGAAAACCCCAGTTTTCCTCGATGACCCCGCAATTGCTAATATACGGAGGACGGAATCTCAGGATCCAAGAGAGCAGTTTCGCCGCAGAGCAGCTAATGGCCCACCTGTGAGTTATTTCGACGATATGGGGTTCCCTCCATCGCAGGCGAACCAGACTCCAAATAATCCTTCTGGGGTTCGCCCACCAGTTCACGGACAACCTCCAATGGCACTTCAGCGCCCACCGGGATTCGAGCAAGTTCAACCTCCTGGATGGCCCAATCAACAGCCTCAGCCACCTGGCCCCAACCAGTCCTTGTTACCCCCGGGACTTTTTCAACTCCTAAACCGAAATGCGAATCCAAACTTCCCGGCCGGACCGCCTATGCCCGTTCACGCTGGAATACCTCCTCCTAATGATCGTCAATCTTATCAACGAAATGCCATGGCTGGAGGACCGGCTCCATTTGCACCTCCTGGCATGATACCTCCTCCAAGCTACATGAACATGAATGCGCCACCACCACCAGCGTTTCCACCAATGCCTCACAATCCAGATGGGATGATGAATATGCCTCATCATGGAAACGTAGCTCAGTATAGCGGCATCCCTCCTCAAGGGCCACCTCAGCCCTCTTCAAGGCAGTCTTTTGACATGTTCGGACCGCCAAGCGTTGATGGAAACATGGCTGCAAGAAACGGAGGGGGTATAATGGGACCTGGTCCATACCGCTAAAACTCTCCTTGCGACAGATGTGGTGGAAATCGCCCTCAGATTGAACCAAAGACCTGCATTATAGGTCGAAGGCAAAAATGCAGAGATACCTGCATATATCTTTTCCCCCCCCCCGGACTCTGGGAATTAAAACAAGCTTGCTCGGTCAGCTTCTTGCTGAGTAAATATTATCAATTTCTACCTAACCTACTTCGCGACCGTGGCTGTTTTTGTGTCTATTCGTTGTGATTTCTCTTTTTTTCAAACTACTTCTTGGACTCTGGGATGATGGGACTTCGATTACTGTTTACTCAAGCCGCTTTATCTTTCTTCTCCTTTACGTTCTTATTTTTTGTTGAGCTTACCTCTTTCTCTCCTGCCTCTTTAAGGTCTTAGGCCTTTCGTCTACGGGTTGCCGATTGAATTTGCTTGCTTTCTCATGCCCTCTCTTTTTCTTAACTTGGCATACTTTTATATGCAATGGTTAGGTTGCGATGTGGGTGGGTTAGGTAGTTTGACAAATATATTTTTGTTCCTCATTGGGTTTGAGCTTTGCATCTTCAAATTTGAGTCTTGGTTCGGACACATAAGGTAAACACATCAATCTCATCCTCTCAGCCGGAAGAGAAATCGTGTAAAAAACCAAACTTTGTCAAACACAAAAAACGAAGTTAACCGCACCGGGGGAAAAACTTCCTATCCAAGTCCTACCCGCTCCTTCAAGAAGGATGTATCGGCGCTGAGCGGGGTTTGAACCTGGTACCTGGCGCATTCTTGAGACGATAGAACCCAAAGCACGAATCATTCGACTCGAGAGACCCCTGAGCCCAGATTGTTTAAATATATTGAGTATTTCACTCTCTATAAAATCCGATTAAACTTCGTTTATATGTAGTCACCCTTTCATAGGCAGCTCTTCTATTATCAAGAATACGGTTATTTTGACTTGTATGGAGTATAAACCATTCAAACGTCTGGATGCCTAGATTATGCATAATTAAATACAGGCAACCCATATATTCATCAATATTCAATCAATAATTCTCCTACTCCTCGTGAAACAATTTGAAAATCTAGCAAGGCCAGTCAGCTTCGTCAACCGCTTCATCACTGTCCCCTTTCTGGTAGTCCAAGAAGCAAAGTCTTCAAGAAATATACATATTAAATCAATTCGTTAACCGTCACCCACGAAGACCCAACAACCAAACCGTCCTTTCTCCCTAAGTAAACTCCGTAAAAAGTGTGTATACAATACATGCATGCTGAAAATATAGGGTGTAAAATGGACGAACGTACAGAAAATTAAAGTAAAGAGAAAAGTATTGGGAAAGAAAACCAAAAAAAAAAAAAATCATCCCCAAGTTCCGCCTCCACCACCTCTGCCTTGCCGTCGTTGCGATGATAATCGCCAGTCGTCGTCGCCTGCAAATCGGTTGTGGAGGGGTTGGATCCGCTGTGCCTTCTTTCGTTTTGAGAGCCGGTCAGTTGGAGCGACTTTGAAGAATGTTGGAGCTGCTTCGACGAGCCACTATTTGGGAAGTAAAAGGTTAGAATATATGACCGATTTGGGTGTTCTTCTTTCCATACTGTCTTTTTACAGAAGAGATACCTGGGGAGAAAATGGAGATGGGGGAGGGTGGGTGTAAAATATACATACTTTTGGTTCAATGCTTGTAGTGCAATGCATGTATTCCTTTGTCGTAAGAACCAAAGTATGGAATATGACGTGCTCAGCTGCCTTCCCAAACAGCGCAGAGCTGGGGTGCATGTAAACAGGTGTTCCTTCGATCAACGTTTTATACCCTTCTTGCGGGTCCTTGCGTGCGGCATTCCTGAAGAATCCTGAGCAGAGCGCCTGACGAATCTTGGTTGTGTTACGTCCGCAAGAAACTATTTTATGTTTGTAGCGCTCCATGATAGTTACCAACTGCTCACGCACATCCTGTGCCCGCCGCATCTGTCGTGCCTGTATGAAGTTCTCAAAACACCAGGGGTTGCTGAAGCGTGAATTTTTCCAAGCGTTATAGACGTTTAAGAGTGTGAGGTGGTCGCCGTGCGGGTCGTGGAATTTGGCCTTCTTTTGATCTGCTTGTTGCTGCTTTTCCTTGGGTCGATAGAATACACTTTGGACTGAAAGCATGGCGACGATGCTAAGCATTTCATCAGAACAGCCCATGTCAACAGAGGCGATTAGGACTTTTGCTAAAGCCGGTTCCATGGGGAAATCGGCCATTTTTCGTCCAAGTCGAGTCAGGAGACCTTCATCGTCTAGGGCAGAGAGAGCATAGAGCTCCTCAAGTGCTGTAAGCATGGTGTTTGTTGGGGGTGGGTCCATGAAATCAAAGTGGAGAAGGTCGTTGATGCCCATAGCTTTTAGCATAAGGATTGTATGCGAGAGATTCTGGCGTTGGATTTCGGGGATAGTGGTTGGAAGCATTTCTGATTGGTAGGCGGCTTCAGTGTAAAGACGGAAGCATTTACCTGGGCCTGTTCTTCCTGCACGTCCCGAACGCTGCTTGGCCTGTGCTTGTGATATGGGCGTAACCACAAGCGAATCCATCCCAAGTTTTGGATCATAGGCATTTTGTTTAACAAATCCCGGGTCGACCACGTAGTAGATTTGATCAATTGTAATTGACGTTTCTGCAATGTTCGTAGCGATAACAACCTTTCGGCTTCCCGGTGGAGCAGGGTCAAAAATCCTACTTTGCATCTCACTGGGCAGAGCAGAATAGACGGGCAAAATGATTAGCTCAGGGACACTGGGTCCAAGCGCTTTCATTCGTTCATACAGAATCTCGCAGGCGGTATCGATTTCTTCTTGACCAGTCAAGAACAATAAAATATCCCCAGCTGGTTCCGTTAAATGTATCTGCATCACGGTGACTAACGCTGCATCCAAATAATCGGATTCCGGTTCTCTCGAATACATAATTTCCACAGGGTAGGTTCGTCCAGGAATTGAGAAGATGGGGCACATGTTGAAATATTCCGAAAATCTATCGGCATCTAGAGTGGCTGAGGTAACGATGACCTTAAGATCATGTCGCCGTTTAAGCGTCTTTTTGAGAAGGCCAAACAATACGTCAGTACTGATGGTCCGCTCGTGAGCCTCATCAAGCATGATAACTGAATATTTTTTCAAGTCTGGATCAAGCAGAATTTCTCTCTGAAGGATACCGTCCGTCATGTATTTGATCTTGGTTTCAGGACTAGTACAGTCTTCAAATCGAATGGTGTAACCGACTTCTGCACCTAAACGACAGCCAACTTCTTCAGACACACGTTTTGCTACAGAGACAGCAGCCACACGTCGGGGTTGGGTACAACCAATGATCCCGTCATTTGCAAACCCGCCCTCAGCAAGATACTGTGTTAGCTGGGTAGTTTTACCGGAACCCGTGTCTCCGACAACGATGAGAAGTTGGTTTTCCCGAATAGCTTCCAGTAACTGTTTGCGGAATTTAAAAACGGGAAGACTTTCACGTTGCTGCTTCATCGTCATATTTGTCCTTTTCCCGAATGACTGGTCCTTGCTCTGGGTCACCCGTTTCCATTCAGGCATAGAATCGGTTGTTTTCGATACTTGCGCATTTCGCAAGTCAGCAGCAAATTTCCTCTGTTCAGGAGCGATCATGGGGTCTTGCCATTGGGCGTTGAGATCCACTTCTGCAGCCTGCTCAGCAGCCCTGTCTTGAGCCTCTTGCTGTCGTAACTCTCTTCTTTCCTTTGCCAAATTTGTCCCAGCCATTGCAGCACGATTCAGTGAGCCGTCCGGAGCCTTAACAACACGAATAGGAGAGAGTTCAAGAGATTGTTTTGTTTGACCAGCCAAGAACGGAGGCTCTTCATCTCTGACTTCAATATCCACATCCTCCTCCTCCTCAAACTCTCCTTCCCCGTTCAAAGTAGCATGATATTCATCATCGATATCCGGATAATCAGCAGCAGATACAGCACCCGATGCAATGAGTTGCTTGATTTCCCATCTTTCAGGAGAATTTAAGCGTTTTCGGTTTTTCATGGGCTTGCCATCATCAACTTCAATGACGGGAACTGAGGAACTCAGATTCCCGTAGCGGTCATCTGCGCCAGTTCCATTAAGTCGTTCCAAATTTGCACCGGAAGCAATTCGCCTTTGGGGAACGAGATCACGGCCAGTAACTTGATCAACTTCCTTCATAGATAAACCTATTCGACTGCCTTGTATAGAGACAACTTTAACTTTCACCGGTTGGCCCTTCGAGACAAGGTCCGAGGGATGGTTGACTCGTGCACCGTCTTGCATCGCGGAGACGTGAACTAGCCCATCAACCTTCCCCCTGACGCCCTGAAGGTTCACAAATGCTCCAAAGTCTTTTAACCCCGTAACCCTCCCCTCGTAAATTTTGAAAAGTATTGGCTGATCGTCGAGCTCAGGCGTCGGAGGCCTTCTGAAGAATTCTTCATCATCGCGATCGCTCCGCCTCTTTCTTTCACTATAGCCATTATTGTACTTGTCATCTCTGCCCCTGTGTTTTGGGACGGATCTGCCGAACTCGTCCAGGTTATCACGTCTTCGGTGTGATCTTTCTGCGCTCCGCGACCTTGACCTAGATCGATATCTGTCCCTTCGTGGTCTTCCGCCGTCATATTCATCGCCATCCGGGCTTCTACTTCTTTTCCTATTCTTCGTCGTGCTCTTTCGTTCCCTTGCCTTCCCCGCTAAACCCTCCAACATCGCAAAGGTATCATCCATAGCTCCCGCATTCGCATCGTCCGTCGACGTAGGTTCCGCCCTTTCATCATCGTCCCCCCATTGTAGCACCTTATCCGGCACCGCTAGACCTTTAAAAACGCGCGCTTTCCTTTCAATCCCGTCTAAGACTTCATCGTCGCCATTCTGCTTGGTGGCCTTTGAGGACTCCTTCTGCTTATCCTTGAACTTCGGGTGTAACGTCAGAACCAGGCGATCTATACTCTCAATCAAACTCTGAGGAAACTCCGCGCCTATATCATCGAGAGCACTCTTGAACTCTGCA